AGGATGCCCTAAGGCACAGAAATATTCAATAAATACTGACCGTTGTCAAATAATCAATCACAGAGTGGGGGGGAGAGAGAGAAAAGCTAGTAACTGCAGCTTTTAATTTGGGTGGAAAAGGGCATGGGACCTTTTATTGAATTCCCAGCACTTTGTTCACTGTAGCCTGAACTTCAGGGTCTCACGGTGGTCATGGGCGATCCTGGGCAGGCGGGGATTTCCGATAGTCTGTAAAGCTATTTCTCTCCTTTCTGGTACGGGTTGGCACCGCTCATGCTAAATTTATAATCTTGTGGCGTGGGTCCTTCCAGGCAGCATGGCCTAGCTCACGTACTGGATCTGTGAGTTATGAATGTGCCGGTATTGTTAACGTACTGTTCACAACTGGAATAACAGAGTTGACGGCCTTTGTGTTGCGGGAAACAGCTTATCGTAATCTGTGCTCTTGTGACCTTCCAGCTGAACCAGCGCTGCTGATTCATGTTGCAAGTGACTCCTCGACAGTCACAGACCATACAGTTAACCTTTTGGCATTAATGTGCACTGCAATTAGAATGGATTTATAGCCATCGGCTGGTGCCAAGCCGCAAATGTGATTAAATATTTTAAGTCTTTCCTTCAAAGCAAAAGGTAAATACGAAATGTGTGCACTTGAGGGGTAATGGACAGCTGAGACTTTTTTCTTCCTGTTTTCAAGAACAGTTGTTCCCCTGGCATCCAGGTAGAAGTTTGCTGAAATCACCGAATTGGTGTCACAGAGTTTGGAAGAGCTGGGGTTTGCATGCCAGTCAGCTTCCTGCTGGCCCTACATTTACAAGGTGGCAGACAGAGCGATCATGATGGGAGAGAAATTAAATATTAGTATTTTATGACAATGAAGTAAAACATTTCTCTCTGTGTTTTTCTGGAGTGTGCCAGCCTACCTCGCCACTCAAAATAAAAGTGATAACATGGTTCTTCTTTTAGAGCAGTTACTGCTTCTTCACAAAGGTAAATAATGAGAAGGGAAATAAGAATTAGGTTTGCTTCATTAAGCAGCTGCTAAATATTATCTTTACTTCAGTCCTCACCTGGGAAATAGCTCAAGGATGGTAGAAACACTTGGAGCTGCTCAGGTTTGTTCTAGTGTGAATATGCTCCAAAGCTTTCACTTTGTTCCTGTAGTCAGGCAGGTAATTCATGGTTTGGTAGTTTAATGTTCAGCAGCAGCAGAAATATTGATTAGTTGTAAGGAATTAGGACAGAGGTTAAAAATACCCAGCCAGAAATTTCTTTTGGCTGACATCTTATTCAAACAAAGTTGAGCGTAGCAAAATAGTAATTGTTCTCCCTCTGTTTGCAAACACCAGGTTCAATAATCATAAAACAGGTGCTTTTGTTTATCTTGCCAACATCTACACCTTCTTGTCTGTCCAACAAAGCATGGCTCAATTTTTATTAAAGGCACACAGCACTCCTGTGATGCATGGGAGAAGTTTCATTTGTGCCTTGCATTACTTGCCTGATTACACAGTTTTTCAGCGGCAAAGCAAGAAACACAGTTCCCAAATCTGAGCTCTTCAGCTCCTGCCTGCCAGGACCATGTTTCTTCAACATCAGATTTCCCGATGTGCTCAGCCTTCCTCATTCTTCCCAGTGCCAAAGCAGCAGTGGGACAGAAGTGGAAAACGTTGAACTTTGTGACCTTAAAAGCTGCAGAGTGAAGTGTTTGCATAACCGAGGATGCAGGATGCTCGCTCTGTTCCTCAGAGAGGAGCGCTGGGAATGACTCCCAGGCTGGAGATTAACAGCTGCTGTTGGTCTCACTGAGGGACAGGACTGATATGAGTGTTGGTGGCCTCAGCCGTGTCTGACTTCCTCTTATTTCAGAGGATTTGGTTTAATTACTCGTTCCGTGCCAGCGTGCTGTTTGCCATGTGATGTAGCTCTGGCATGAGTGATGCATCCCAGAGCTGTGACATAGCCACTCCTGCCACAGAGAATGTGAGCCTGAAGGTTTACGCATTTTCTCCTTTTCTGCGTTGTTGAGCCTTTTACCAACTGGTACGGGAAATTTGGCCACAGAGAGGACTCTGCTAAAAGCTTATAGCTCACCAAGGCTCTCTTCTCTTCCAGGTGATCCCGATGCTTCCCAGGCTGCTCTGTGAGGAGTTATGCAGTCTCAATCCCATGCAAGATAGGCTGACGTTCTCCGTGATGTGGAAGATGACTCCAGAAGGCAAGGTACCTCAAGTAGCAGGCAGTCATCCTGCTAATCAGTACCCCCGCAGTGGCCAGACCCTGCTCTTGCACAGAGAGTGGTAAAAATGCAATCCCGTAACACCCAGGCAGATAGAAAAGGACTTGGTGGTGAACAGTGTGGGACTGTCCCTGTATCTTGTCTTACCGATGAGATACTGTGGAACTTCCAACTGGGATAATCTCACAGGATGGTGGGGAAAGGAAGAATATTTGCATGAATCTCAGGAGCAGAGAATTTCCCGCTCCTTGCCAAGGTTACCCATCCATTTAATGTCTTACCTCCATCAGTGCTTTGGGTGGGACAGGATGTTCCCCCCTGACTCCAACCCCGCCTTGTGCTTGCAGACCGTTACACAATGCAGTGGATGTGGGCAGTATCCCTTGGTGGCCTCTCTGGTAGACGGGCTATTTCATTCTTCTTCAGAGCAGCAAATTACACTGACCCAAATAAAGCGTGATAGCTCTTCAGCAAAAGGACATCTCTGTCTTCTGCATATGTTATTTCCAGGGAGGTGTGGAGGCTGCTTATCAGTGCAGCTGCCTGCCAGCTCTCCTGAGATCTTCCTTTCTCTCCCAGTTCCTCTCCCATGCTCTTTGTAACCTTAACAATCTACTCTTTGGTGACCACAGGGTCCCCTCACTATTCAAGGACTGCCACCACCAGAGGACTCATCAGTCTACATGAAGCACACTTTTTGCCCTCAGAATTACATTTCTTTTTAACTAGTGTTGTGCTCATGCACAGCTTTCTCTATGCAGAGTATTTCCTGTGCCACTTTGGTAATTTTTCACAAAAATTAACTTTACTTCTTTATTATTGTCCATGCTGCTCTAAAGGATACTGGATCTTGTTTTGTGCTTCAGCAAAGCACAGTTGCAGTTCTGTTTCTCTGGAAAGTTTCTGTTCTGTCACTGTGTTGGGTTTTATTTGCTTGTTGTGAAAAGCATTTCACTTCATATAGTGACAGCATGATTACTCATGAGGCCTTCTCATAGTGGCTACTTGGTGGCCCTTTTATTGACTCTAAGTGGTCTTTCAACAGCTAATACTCAAGTCTTAATTAAAACAAGCCTTTAATTAAATCTTGTCTCTTGTTCCCTGCAATATATACCTTATCTGCTTTTCAGACAGTGTTCAGACAAACCCTGTCTGACCAGTGAGAGAACAGAGGAGCTGCAGCATCTGCTTCGCGCTTGCTCAAGGAGCTGATCTCCGGAGGCGCAGTGCTGTGGGCCGTGTCCACGCTGCCCCTTGGAAAGCAAACTGCCCACGGCCATCTCAACAAACTGGTTTCTCCTAGGAGGTCTTTCAGGACTGCAGTCTTAATCAAGATCACCTGATTTGAATATCAGGTGAAGGCCAGAGAAGAATTTCCTCCTTCCAAGAGGAGAAGTGGTTGTAGGGCTTTTGCCCAGCAGGGCATTCTTGTAAGAGCTTATCTCTTGCATTGGGACAGAATTTGTCTCCTGTCTTTCTAGGTGTTAGTACAGCGTAATCTCAATGTAAACAGGATCACATGCTCTCCCGGGCTCTGCTGGGTGAAAGGGAGATGAGTCAAAGGCCCCAACACTGCCTTTGAATCTCAGCTGGTGGCAGAGAGCCATGGGAACGCTGACAGTGAGCACAGGACATTCCTCAGGAAGGGATGCATGAGGCCAAAGAGCGCTCTGTTGCACCTCGTTGGCACAGCAGTACCCTGCCCCTGAGCTTGCACAGCAGATCCAAGCAGGACTACTAGAGGTGAGCTGCACGAGCTCCTGCTGTTACTGTTCCAAAGCAACCAAGTCTAGAGCTAGTGCATCTCCCAAGGAAAAGCCATGCAGATCCCTCACTTGAATGTGACTGTTGATAAACTGTTGGGATTTTTGATTTTTGTTTCTTTTAGAAAAATAATTCCGTGCTTAGCCTTTTCTCAGACGGAGGTACTTTCTTGTTTCTACTGCTTTTGGGTTCTGGAGTTTTTCTCTTCTAGTTTTCCTTGAGTTTAACAAACCTTTGGCTGAGCAGCACTCCACACAGCTCCATGGACTTTAGTGGGACAGTGTGACATGATGCATCTGAAATCACTTTCCAAGGGCAGAGACGTTGCTGTATTGTTGCATCTGTGCTGTTCTTCGGGAGCAGAGCTGGGCATTCATAGGAGCAACGAGGCATGTTCTTGTTCAGATGCAGTCAACAGAAAGATACTTGAAAACAAATGATGCAACTCTTCTTTTTAAGCCTGATGGTGTTTGAAGGACAACCCTGCTGGTTCCTTCTACTAGTGAGGAAGAAAAGTTGCTTCAGTCTGAAACAACCTATACAATGTGTCTTCCAGGCTGTTGTCATCAGCCAGGATGTGATACTGACGCTGCCTTGTGTAGAGAAAGTCCTCAGCCTCCTGCACAGCTATGTCACACCCTTGAAGAGACCTGTGCCACCAGGGACTGTGCTAATGGGAAGGTTTCAGCTAAGCCACACTGACTGGCTTCACATGATAAGCTGGGGACTACAGCTTTTTCTCAAAAGCAGCCAGAGCTCGGGGAAGCCTTAACATAACCCTATAGGTGCCTCAGATACTGGTACTCTGTCTAGAGTCTGGGTGCATCAGGTTTCCTGCGATGGGGGAGACCCTGCAGACTGGTCTTGTGGGCTACTCATCTCGAAGTCCCAGCTCACAATGCCCAAATGTTGCTCCCTCTGCACTGCTTTTCCCGTCCACCAGCAGGTGGTATGTGGGCCAGCCGGCCTTGTGCAGCATTCCCTGTAGAAGTGGAGCTTGCCCATTCCTCTGGTGGGCTTTCCAAACCAGGGATACAAGGCTGTGGTTACCCAAGATCTGGTTGGATGGCTGCCGAAGGCAGAGACCAAGGGTATTTCTAGGAAATACTTGGACAGTGGGTAGAGTTAAGTCATTGTGCCCCAGCAAGGCTGAGTCTGGCAGCTCTACTTGCTACACACAGGGCAAGATGCATCCAAACTCCGTTCCTTGTCTACATGACATGTGCTTAATGCATCCAGGCAACCTTGGTGAAAAGGTGTTTATTGAGTATGTTAATAAAATATCTCTCAGGGTTGTCATTGTCCAGTTTATACCTGTTAGAGCCATGGAATGGAAATTGGTGCTTGGATACCTTTGAGAGACCGAGAACAAAGGAATTGGGAAAACAAAGAAATAAAAGAAGTGTAGTATCTGCTAGTAAGGGGCTACTTGTCCTGATGCTTTGCTCTGAATGTAGCCCGAGATTTGATGTTCTAGGGTCCCAATATTCTACATCTCTCGACTTACAGGGAAGTGAGCAGAGCTCTGAAATATTTGGCTTCTTCTAAGCAAGCAGAAAAATTAGGATTTGTTGAAAGCTTCAAGTTCAGACAGCAAAGTGGAAATCCAGTCCATTGCCTCCTCCAAGAGATGGAGAGAGCTCCTGGAAGCCAGTGGCAGAAAGCACCATGTAGCCTCAGGGCTGACTTTCAACAGTAACCTGGGGAGTGGATTCTTTTCAGAATCGCCCTTCTGGTTTGTGCCCAGTCCTTAACCCTTTTCGACACACATGTACATGGTGGAATTGACTGATCTACTTTATAAAGCAAAATGAGAGTGCTTTCCAAACACAAAATATTTAGTGTGGAATAATATAGCAGTGAGGGCCAGAGTTGATAATGACCTTTGATGCAGAAGGAGATGGAGGAACCAGCAGGGAAATAGAAGTAATGTCTGAAAATGTTTGAACGGCAAGTTGAAAGAGCTGCCTGTTACAGCTGGAGGGTCTGTAGAAGTGCTCAGCTGATGTGAAGGCTGCTCAGCCTTGCTCCCAGATCATCTCAGCAAGGAACACCACCTTTTTGGTGCCTGAGTACCATCCATGTTGTACTGAAGTTTGAAGTATCTGTATTGTTAACCGGGTAACAGCCTTCGCCTTGCTGGAAGTGGATTTAAAGAGCAGTGCAGCTTCTTCCACACCAGAGATCATGCTTGGTTAATATCAGGAGGTGTCTTGGGTCCAACAGATTCCATCAGGTGTCACTGACCTGCGAGATATGAATTCCTCATCCCTATAAGAAGCTGAACCACATTTAATGGGATGGAGCAGGGGGCGGAGGTGGTGTTGCTAACACTGCCAGAGCGTCTCTGCCCAGCTTTGCGACTTTCTCTTCCTTTCTTTCTCTTTGGCATAGAGAAAGGGGCACCCACAGAATAACTGTGAGCCGAGGCTCAGAACGCTTTACATTGTAAGATGTGACTTGCTACATCTCTGCTGTTAGGAGACTTTCAAATTAAAAATGAGCTTAAATGCCCTGTGACTTTCAGAGCTCTGAGCTGCCGAGTTACGCTTAGATTCTTTGGAGCATAAGGAAGGAAGGCAGCAAAGGTATCTTGAGGATCAGTCCTTTCCTGGTAAGAATAGGGTTTGTCTTTCTGAAGGAATGTCCTTGATAAGTGTGTCATGGAGAGAGCTGGCTGTTCTCCTCGGACACCGCCACTTGCAGAATTTACCTTGTCCTGTTGTGCTGATGAAGGGGTAAGGTGGCACTTGTAGCTAAGGCAGAAATACAATTTCCATTCATTCTGAGAGCACTTTTGCTCTCAGTGGTTTATCACAGACCACATCCATCTCCAGAGCTCTCGGATCAATGCTCTTTGGAAGCTCAGAAAGGTTCCTGGCTTGAGTTTGGGTGCAAGACCATAGGCATGATCAGAGAAACAAGGGGCCAATGACTGACCCTCTTTCCTCCAGACCCACCAAAGTGCTACTCAGGCACTTTCACAAGTGTTAGTCAGACATGCGAGTTCCTGCAGTACTCCTCAAAACAGAATATTTTAAGGCCAGCCCCTGGTGTCCTGTTGGCTACACTTGAGCTGGAAGGGTGGAATGGAATCTGTGGTGTTTTAGATGGGAAATCCTTTCTTACGTGTGTCATCTGGCTGTTGCCACTCCTGCACCCAGAAACCTTTCAGTCAGCTGACTGGTTTCAACTCTCAGATGGGCTGTAATTTTCTGAGTTCTACGAAAGAGGGAAATCGGGTAGGGGAGGGCGATCCAAGCAGTTTTCTATGTATATGCACAATATTGTGCATATACGTGTCACTAGACACGTGTATATATAATGGGTAAAAGGCCTGATGGTCTCAGTATGAGAAGATCTTCACCTGAAGATCACAATCAGTGAAGAGGTCTGATTTCATTCCTTCCAGTGTCTATACCACTTACCAAGCTTCTGTGCACTGGAAGAATGAGTCCTCAGAGCAATTTATGCTTTCTAATTTTGCAGATCCTTGATGAATGGTTTGGAAGGACGGTCATCTGCTCCTGCGTGAAACTAAGCTACGACCATGCACAGAGTATGATCGAAAGCCCTGGGAAGGTGTTTGCACCTGAAGAACTACCCCCTGTCTCCCCTCAACACTCAACAGCCGAGATCCAGCAAGCTGTGCTGAACCTGCATCGCATCGCCCAGCACCTCCGCAAGCAGCGCTTCATCGATGGTGCTCTGCGCTTAGACCAGGTGAGCACAGCCCCCGTAAGGGCCTCCCACGCCACTGAACCAGTTTCACATTGTCCTCCCTAAGAATTTCCTGATCAGTCTAGAAACTCGAAGGGGAAAGTCAAGGTTGGAATAGAAAGGCAGGTTTGTATGCCAATTTCTTCTTAAGAGCGGCATCAGATTATGTACCAAAAGCACCGAGTAGGATGGAAAGAAAAAAAGTTTCTGTTTTTAAGGAGTGGTCCATCTTTCAGCATTTTTCAAAATCCTAAACCGCCGGTAGACTGGGTAAATAACTCATATGGTGAAACAAATCACGACGGTGTCATTTATTATCAAGCAGTTCAGGTATCCTTAGTGCACATTTTGCTGTGAAAGGCTCATCCTCCAAATTTATTACTGTGCTTGCAATACTCAGGTTTTCCACAGCTTTCATGGCAGTTCTCTGTGCAGGGAAAATAACTAAGTGTTATCTAAGCTAATACTTGTAAGTGCTGGGTGTGTTTCAGAGGTTTTCTGTCTGAGGTGATGTAAAGAATCTTGTATCAGTTGTGGTACGTGTCATTTCTATTTTATGAGGAGATTCAGATATTTTAGACTATCACACCAGAAACACTTCTGCGTTTGAGGTTCAGCTGCTCTGAGGTGGCTTCTGACAGTTTTGTTCCAGTAATTTATAAAACCCCTTGGCCTTCCTGAGCCCAAGACAAAATAATCTCTTAATATAAGGAAGCTCTATTGTTTCATTTTGCAAAATGGCTGTGGGTCAATGTAAGGATATTGCTGAGAAAGAAACTAGCATACCAAGATGCATAAACAGGACCATTGTATGTATGTATTGTTGTAACCCTTCCATTTTACTCAGCATTGTAGTGTTGCCTCCAGTTGCAGGAAAGTCAAATTGTAGAGAAATCATTGCAGAGCAATGAGGGCAAGGAGTGTCTATAATCTGTAATCTTACCCAAGAGAGCACGTGGCTTAGTCTGGCAAAGGTGCTGTAGAGAGAAGACAGTGCTTCCATGTCAAAGATGGGCAGGATGACACATTTTTATCTTGAGTTTCAGTAGAGGAGATTGGGGTTATGCTTTGGGATAGACTTTCTGGTGTAGTCGTGATGTCTGAGGCTGTATCTTACCTACCCCTGTTGTAGGGGGAGGTTAGGCACACGTAAGTGAGCCTGGAGCAAGGGCGTTTGCTCAGGGTCTCTCCTTGCTCAAAGGAAATAATCATTCTTAAAATTATACTCATAATTTTTAGAAATCAGGCACCCACTTTGAAGTCATGCAGAGCTTTCTTAAACCTCTTTTGGAACAGAGGCTTCCGTCTCTGGGGTTTATCGTACAATGGCTAATAAGCTGGGTTTTTGTTCCCAAGCACACTATGAATGCTAGAGAAATATTAAAAAATCCAGCCTTTGCACTCGATGAGCTTAACTGGAGATGCCTGGACTGGAACAACAGTCCATGGTGACTGGGAGCCCAGAGAGGTCACCAGCTGTGTTCCACAGCTCATGCCCACGGTGTAGTGCACAGCGGTCACCGTGTGTGTCTGAGCTGAGTACCTGTTATCAAACTAACCTCAGCGAAAATATGTTTTAAAACAGCTGTGACATTTTCAGTGGGAGGACTTGGCCAGGGAAGCATCCTGTTCGAGTGATACCCCATAGAAGATTAGCAGTGTTTTGTTTTGCTCCGTGCTGTTATAGAGTAGCTGTTCAAGAGAACGTATTTGTGAGATGGGAGTTAAAAGCCACGCTAAGGGCACCAGAGAGGCCTGATTCCTACTCAGCCTAGTTCCTAACCATCACAATAAACCGTGTTATGTCTCACAAGTGGCACTTTATGCTGCACAGAACCTCTCTCTCCTGACGAGAGTGTCGGAGGGAAAGTAATGATCTTGGAGAAGGAAGTGTATTTTAGTTCAAGGGGCACTGTCACTGTACTTATGCCTTTCAAGTACCGCCCTGATAGTTGTATTTTCATAAACTGCACGCTGCATGGCACGTGGAGAAAGCAGTCACTCTAAAGCCTGAGTACAAACAGTATGTGAGGGACATGGCCAGCAACGTAAGGCTGGACAAAGCAATCTGTAGCTTTTACTAGAAGGAGGTGAGTCCCTGTGCCCATCCATTTCCCTGGGTTCCCATGGATGCAGCTGTGCACCCAGTCTGACTTCCAGCCCCAGCTGAGTGAGCAAGGGTGGGTCCAGCTGGGAAACACACCTTTCTAATCACTGAACCTCTCACTGATTTCCTGGTGAGTAATGTAAATCCTGAACAATGGAAGACAAATTCCAGCAGGAAACTTGGGGCAATGAATTATCAGCTTCCAAATAAATATGTGAGTGAAGGAAATGATCATCCCACAGGCTTAAGGGAGGTGGGGGCTGGCATGGCTGATTCCTGTGCTTTTTTTAACAAGGGATGTGAGCCCTTTCCTACACGTTGCATTATGTGTGAGAGCTTCTACGTTGGGGTTACTCCTGATGCAACAGCAATGACTGTTTTTTCTGACTTCCACTGTGCCAGTTTTTAGTGTGATGTGCTTTTGTGCTTACTGTTGGTATTAAGAAAATTAAAGGGAAAAGAATCCCCTGTCCTACTTTGCCACTGGCTGTGGTGGCCTTGGGCTGGTGCTCTCCCTGCCTGCCTCAGTTTCCTCTTTGGAAATTATATTGATCTCACCCATAGTATCTGTATAATTTAAGATTTATTCTCCAAAACTAAGAATATCTCTCAGAGGAACCCATTCGTGGGTATATCTTTATAATAGCAGAAATACTGGTTGTCCAGGGAAGTCCTTGCTCCTGAAAACAGGATGGCTGCAGCAAGATCCAGTAATGTCAGGCTGACCGTGCCGTGGTGAGCAGAATATTTTCTCTATGAATGTCACTGAATTTTTATGACCTAGTGTGAAAGTGGCATCTGCCTGCCCATAGTTTTATCTTTTAGCAGTAATTTTAGAAGCAGAATCTCTGTAGCACAATGTATGAAGACTATCTTTTATGGTTTTTTAATAACTTGGGAATCATACATCAGGGTCACACAGAAAACCTTGAGACAAATTACAGAGGTAGCACGCGGTCTTGAAAGCTTAGGAGTTGTGGATTCCGCGTCACTATACATGTGTCTGTTTGGGGCTGTGTAATTTTGAATTCCTTCGTCAGCTTAGTCCTGGCCATGGCAACCTACGCAGCTGCCACTCTTTTTCCCCCAGTTCCTTTCATGCCTGTGTAGGGGAATCCTGCTCCATTGGACCTCACATCTGAGGACCTTCTTTGCAACCAGAGTCACACATCTGTCACTCTGTGGGGTCTTGCCGTCCTCATAAGCTCCTTCTGTTTTGTTGTTGGTTTTTTGTGGTTTTTTTTTCCCCCTAGAATATGGTTTCCTGTGCTGCCTTCCAGCTTCCTAGCTCCAGAAGACAGCTGAGCACTGTGTTTTAGAGGTTTAAAGTCTTTGCACCTTCAGTGGCTAAGGAGCTTATGCAATTTTCTCCACACAGACAGATATTAGTGTATTCTTTTTCCTTCTCATTTGGAGCTGCAGCTTTTAGATGTAAAGGCAAGAAGTGCTTTGTAATGTGACTTTGAAAAAATAATGTTCAGATATTTACAAGTTTGTCTTCCTGCCTGCCCCCCTTCTTCCTGCCCAGGACCGTGAAATGCCACCCTCGTGCTGTCCTCTCACAGCTCGTGGTGCACCCACACTAAACTGGAGCAGGGATTTGACCTGGTTTTTAAAAACTAGAGTGAGCCCAATTCGCAACCCACAACTTTCCTTTTTTTTCCTGGCCAGGTTACTTTGAAGCTGGATCACTTCCTCAAACCACAGCTTTTAGAAACACCAGCCAGAGAATCAGATAGAAACTTGCTTTCAACAAAAACCATCAAGTTCGCAGAAAAGCTCCTTAGCTCCAGCCTGCCTAGAGGAGACCTGCTGATAAATGGTTCTCTTTTTTTGTCCTCAGCAGTTTATAAATGAATCATGAGGACAGATGCCTTCAAGAAGACAGGTTAAAAAGGATTTCTGTGCATATTTAAAATGAGAATACCCCGGGATGCTGATCTGTCTCTATGACAACTGTCTGTGAGCTGAGCAGTGGCTTTTGTTGTGCCGATGATTCTGCCTTTGCCAGCTCACTTGATACCTGGGTGCTCAAAACGTTGGCATTGACCAAAGTGTTCATTGTGAGAACAACCTAAAGTGCATTTGCGTTAGACAGTTAATGGCATTGAATTGTTTGCTGGAATAGCTTCTCCTTGTTTTCCGCACATCAGACATTCAGCTTTGCAGGTGTGTAAGAAAAAGGAAGATAAAAGGGCCAAAAATGACAAAGATGAGAATGTTACACAAATTTAAGGGTTGAATTGCTAGTGAAATGGTCTTGCTTCTCCTTGTTCCCAGCCTGTGTGCTGTGTCACTGGCTTGTCATCTGAGCAAGGATGGCTTTTCCCTGTGGGTGTCTTGTTTTGAATAACTTTAAGGTAGTAAAAGTCTGGAGACCTTACCTATGGTCCTGTCCCGGGGCTGCTGGGGATAATGAAATAAGTGATCTTTGAGAATAGCTTCATTTAATTGGTGGGACTCCTGAAATATTAGAGTATTTCTGCTTCAGGAGACATAGGGGAACAAGCACAAAGATCCCAAACAACAGAATGTGTTCAGAATACCAGCTCCAAAACACCCAGGTGCACAGCATACTGGGTATATTAACCAGCTGTGTGTAGCCTTTGAAGCTCTCTGAACTGACTCTGCCTACTTGATGCAAGCAGCTTTGAGAAGCTGACTCAAGCCATTCACACACAGAAAGCGAGGAGGAAGAGGGGCACTGTGCACGCAGGGTGTGACACTGTGTGTTGGGAAATTTCGTATTTAGTTGTGGCTAATGGGATCGGACAGAAACACGTATTTTTAGACAGTCGCTCCTTCTAATGCTGTTTAATTGGAAATCTCAAGAGCCACAGATTAATTACTGTCACCGTTAAAACTTTCCAATGTGAATGACTGCTGGAAATAATTA